AACAGCAAAAAGCAAAAGGATCATTGCACTGACACCATTGTTGTTTTGAAGAAAGCAAGATGACACCGCAAGCACTTAAACTTGTTCTCTTCATATAAAAAAAGAATTTAAAAAAAGAAAAAGAAAACATGATTATTAATGTGTTTACTGGTTTTTGCTGCTCTCAAGTGGTCGAAAATATTACTACATATGCACAGAACTACATATGAATTTCCTCTGAGTTCCATGTAACTTTAGTTTGTAGGCATGTGTTCATTATCTTCTTAATTTCTATTCTCCCTATTAAATGTAAACACACTGAGCCATTATTGTTACATTGCTACCTCAAGACAGCAAATGTTTTTGACTGTGATTCTGATAATTTCCTGTTACACTGAAAATTATCCTATGTTGTAGTTATAAAAAAGACTTTTGATTTACACGAATATTATTATTAAATTAATAAAAAGTATAAATAGTCATATCTACCTTTTTGTACCCTTTTGGCGTTAAATAGTTAATAAAGTTTAAATTTAATCTAAGAAGGACAAAGAGGTATATATCGGTTACAATTCTCCCCAAAGAGTTAAATTCTAATGTCCTTTTCTGTGTTTGTTTTAAATACTTTATTATTTCGCGATGACAAGAGCAGAAAGGAGAATGACGACAGTCTCGCGAGATTTTTGTTAGAGGTCAAAGTTGGCTTTTCCATGTGTGCATGTGCCTGTATGTGCAGGTTTACCACAGAGCGTTTCTGTGGGACTTAGCTACAGTTTCCCCGGTGTTCATATATGTTTATGAGCGTGGTTATTTAACCTTGTTTAAATATTTAGGAGACCTTTTTAAAGTTGGTTTTAGTTTGTTAAATTCTTCGCTAATACGCGCTAGCCTCGGCTTTTCAGCTGGTAGAGCAGATTGAATCTTTTGGAGTCTCTTTTAGCTGCTAGATCTTCTAAAGATGGTTTAGCGTGACATGTTTCGGGTCAGACCGCTGCTGAGTGCCTTAGTTAACCACCGACAGACGTTAAAGACAAACGGTAAGCCAACCTGACAGAAGCTATGTGACAGTATGTGCATTTGCAGTCTCCAGACTGTGGTTAGTTAGCTTCTGGTATCTTAATTCACTCATCGAACCAACTGGAAACAAATGCATCAGTGGGAAACATATATATATTTATGTGTAGTATATTTGTTTGTGAAGGTGTTTTATCGCCACACAGTATAAATGTAGAAGGCATCACGAGTGTCTGTCCGATTTTTGCTGTTTATTACTATTTTGTTTAGATTTATTACCTTTATATTGTCTTTATCGTACTTTCAATCTCAAAAGGCCTCTCAATCCGTGTATCACAGAACAGGGTAGTAGCTGTCACTGTTTAATTTCTGTGTTTCCTTCACAGGGGGTCTTTATAAGCCCTTTTGCACGATGAGTGAAGGAGGCATGAATAAGCAGACAGCTACACTGTTAAAAAGGACCAATGAGGAAAATGAAGACTCTGCTGAGAAGGTCCAGGCAGCTAAAAGGGTGAAGACAGATGGGGAACACGCTGAAGATGAAAAGAAATATCCAAAGAAGAAAGTGGTCCTGCTCATGGCGTACTCGGGAAAAGGATATTACGGGATGCAGGTATAAATAATAATAATAATAATAATAATAATGATGATGATGATAATAATACATTTTATTTAAAAATAGAACCTTTCAAAGCACCCAAGGACACTGTACAACAGATAAAGATACATTTATATTCTGCAGTTGTCTTGTTTGAAAGTTTTTCTGCCCTTTACCACACTTTTTTGATAAAAGCTTATTTCAGCTGCTCACATATTCATGAGTCGCTACAGCAGGTAGCTCCATGTGTTTCATTTGGCATTTTTTATGCCGGATGCCCTTCTGGGGTGGACAATAGAGAATAAATGTAGTTATATACGTTTATAAAAACAGATCTTAGGTGAGCCACACAGTAAGAAGGTCCTGGGTTTGACTCCTCCATCTAGCTATGGATTTTGCATGTTCTCCCCGTATCTGTGGGTTGTCCCTGGGTACTCAGGCTTCCTCCCACACTCCAAAGACATGCTGTCAGTGGGTTTAGGTTAATTGGTGATTCCAAACTGTGAATGTGAGTGTGAATGGTTGCCTGCCTCTCTGTGTTAGTCCTGTGACAGATTGGCGACCTGTCCAGGGTGTTGCCACCTCTTACCCTATGACAGTTGGGATGGGCTCCAGCCCCCCATATCCCTGAATTGAATAAGCTGAAGAAAGTCAATGGTTGGCTGGATGAAACAGATCTTAGATATGAGACTGGTGGAAACAGATGAAGATCAGCCGCTGCCATCAGTGAATGTCATCATAATTAGTGGCAGTCAATGGCACATAGAAAACACTGGCCAATAAAGTGCAACATCCTTATTATTTTCATTATTTATTTATTTATTCCAGAGAAATCCTGGAAACTCTCAGTTCAGGACCATTGAAGATGATCTGGTTGCTGCTCTTATTAAATCTGGCTGCATTCCTGAAAACCACGGTGATGAGATGAAGAAGATGTCTTTCCAAAGATGTGCCAGAACAGATAAGGTATGTGCTCAGTGCACAATAAGAATTTACTGGTCAAAGCTTGGCCAACAAGGCAGATTAGAGGATATGTATCTTTACGTGTTATCTGTCTGTTAATGTTGTGCTGGTTTTATTTCTTGTCATCATGTAATTGTTAATAAGAATTAATTAAATTGTGTATTTCATTGTTAGTATTTATTCATGTGTTTAGTTATGTCGTTGACTTTTATATGAATGTATTCAGGGCGTGTCTGCTGCTGGCCAAGTGGTGTCTCTAAAAGTGAGGTTGATTGATGATATCATTGAAAAAATCAACGAGCATCTGCCACCGCAGATCAAAGTGCTTGGTGAGACGCTACTTTATATTGTGAATTACAAGTCTAGGTTTTTGGTATGATGAGTACTGTTGGCATGAGTGTGTATGATTCATTTTTTTTCTCAACTTTTGAACCCACAGGACTAAAACGGGTGACGCAGGGTTTCAATTCTAAAAATAACTGTGATGCTCGTACGTACTCGTACATGCTTCCAACACTGGCCTTTTCCCCAAAAGACTATGATACCGGGAATATAGCAGCATTTCGCCTGGAACCAGAGACACTACAGAAGGCGAATCGCCTTTTTGCTCTCTACAAAGGCACACATAACTTCCACAACTTCACCTCTCAGAAGGCTCCAAGCGACCCCAGTGCCCGCCGCTACATCACAGAGATGTCCTGTGGGGAGCCTTTTATCCGCAGAAATTATGAGTTTGCAGTGATTACTGTGCGAGGCCAGAGCTTTATGCTGCATCAAATCCGCAAGATGATTGGCTTGGTGATTGCAGTGGTCAAGGGCTATGCAAAGGAGGAGGTGATGGAGCGGAGCTGGGGACATGAGAAGGTAGATGTCCCCAAAGCTCCGGGACTTGGCCTCATCCTGGAAAGGGTTCACTTTGACCGGTACAACAAACGTTTTGGGGGGGACGGGCTGCATGAGAAGCTGGAATGGGATCGCGAGGAGGAGGAAATCAAGGCCTTTAAAGAGGCACACATCTACCCCACCATTATTGAGACTGAGTGTGAAGAGGGCTCCATGGTCAGCTGGATGGCCACTCTCCCCATCCATGACTTTGAGGCCACATCTATTGAAGTGCAAGACGATAAAGTTAAAAAACAGGTATCCAAGAAGATACATTAATTTTAAAATGTTTTTTTAACATTGAAAATCTGTTTTTTATTTTTAAATATAATTGTTCTCTTCCTGCAGGATGATGCAGATGAAGGAAATGACTCTGATTAGGCCACTCTGCCAGCAGAAAGAAGATGCATCATCATGTGGTTTTTTTTTTGTTTGTTTTTTTAACTGCTGATACAGACATTTTCACTGGGATTAAATCTTGTTTCTTTTATACAAATGTTATTAACAAGCAAGTAATAAAAGCTTCTGTTCTTTAATGCAACCTGCTTGGTTTCCTAATATTAGTTTACCACTAAAACGACTTTGGATAGCTGGTTTGTTTGATGTTTCTGCAGTAATAACTGGCTGCCTACTCTTGAAAATACTCTTAATGCTACAGCGACATTTAAATTGTCAGAAGAATTGTGTACTACTGCATACTCAAATAACAACATCAACTTATGACGTTTCATCTCTTAATAATAAGTTTAAATCCCACATTCATGACTTCTCTGATAATAGCAGTGAGCTGTATTTACAGGACTTTGCAAAAGTCTTGCCCCACTCCTCATTTCTTTATATTTTATTTTCAAGAAGAAGTTTTTTTAAAGTGATCTTCAGCAATAATCCTCTGGGCTTTCTGAAGGACTCTTAAAGTTTTTCTTTGGACACTGGTTGCTTTTTCACTCATTGACAGTTCTTTGAAGGAATCTTTTTCAGTTTGTTAAACTATTTAATGATGACCTATGGCTATGTGATTACTTAATGTGGGGAGGTTCAGGAAGAAATGTAAGAGAGCGTGGCAAAGCAAGGACGTGCCAGAAGAAAGATCAACACATCCGTAAAGCAAGCAGTACACAGGGGCGCCAAAACGACCCCAGTGCCTGCCACCACATCACAGAGATGTCCTGTGGTGAGCCTTGAAACAGTAACTTGTTATTCAAAACAGATAATTATGAATTTCAAAATCTTATTTGGATTTTCAGTGATATAACTTTTTCAACCGTCTCTTGATTTTGCCACATTTTTCAAGTAACCTATATTTGACAACAGCATAATAAAACATGAAATTCTGTTTTTGGTGTGCCACACCAAAATCTTTAGTGTGCCCCATATGGCCACCCCATGAAAACATTCTGGAGGTGCCCCTGGCAGTATATTTAACATCGTACATCTGTCTTATGTGTCCTTCAGTCCACTGTCAGAAGTATAAGGAAAAAAAGTCGAATCTAATTAATATTATAAAGCAAAAGGTTTTATAAGGGTGCCATATTTCTGGAAGATAGACGAACATCACTGAGAGGTTATGACGCTTCACACTCCATACCAGCTGGTGGCGGTAACGCACCAGTTCCTGCTTTATTACCGGCAGTAAACCTCAAAGAAGAAGCACCATCAAGTAAACATGGCACCGGCCAAAAAGCGCAACGTGAGTTCGGTAAAAACAGCAGAAAAGAGTGCAAAAAAAGCCAAAGTAGATCTCAGCAAAACTGTCGAGCGTATCCTCGAGAGCAGAAAGCATGCCAACGATGTTTTCGACATTCTCGAGAGCCTTCAGGTATAGATTTCCACACCTAAACATCCACGCTGTACTAAAACCATGCCATTTAGCTAACCATAGCATGATCACCGCTGGGCAGCTTTCAGTAAGTGTACGTGTTTGTTTCCTTCGTGTCTGTGAGCAGGCAGAACAAGAGAAGGAGGTTATCAGCGCAGTCGCTGCGTGCAGCGAGCTGTTCAGTGCGCTGCTGGAGAGGAAGGAGCTGTTCTTGGGAAAGCTCCCCGGAGAGGAGGACGCATTGAGCGGTTAGTATACGATTGTAACCCGATTACCAAAAGCAGTTCTGAGGTGGATGTATGCGTGTTGCTCCTGTCGCCATTTACCTGGGTTTGTCTGGTCCAGGGGGCTACAGCGCCGAGGACAAGTACCGGATATTTATGCGACACCGGTACACCAGTTGTGTTGAGATCCTGTTAGAGCACCTCAGCCATGAGCAGTATGACATCAAGGTGAGCTGTCTCTCTGTGACTTCTCCTTCCGTCACACGTTAATTAAACTTAAGAGAAACAAATTAATACGTGTCTTCACTTTTTGACCGTTAGAACGAAAGGCTCACATTAGACATGTTTGCTGGGGGTTCAGTATCTGTTTTGCACAGACGTGTTGAAAGTTTCTGTGTTGTACGGGGAGTTATCTTTTACAGTTTTGCATTGTGCAATTGATTACGTTGCTTACAGGTCTTGGGGACTTGAGGGAGGCAATGATATTCATTTAAATAAGAAAAATACATGATTGGATAACTTTTTGGATACAGGAGAGTGCCATGTGCTGCCTGATGAAATTTGCTGCCGGAGAAGGACGGCATCCTCTTGAGGACTTGGACTGGAGTGAACATTACAGCTTCCCAAGGGAACTGATCCAGGTAGCATGTTGGCTATGATTTCTAGGATTAATAAGTATTAATAATTTCTGTGTTCTTTTGGGTGACTTAAGTACTTCTTTCAGCTTATTACTCAAGGCAAAAATAGCTTTTCCCGAAAGATACACTTTGTCATTTGTGGCTCCTCCTGATATTTCTTTTTTCTTGTACTGCCAGGCACTGGTGGACAACCTTCTGTCTAAAGCTACAGACAATTCCCTGCTGATCTCCAGGTTCCAGGAGTTTCTCGAGATGGAGGATGTGCGCTATTATGTAATGAGCTCCATCCGGGACAACGTCGGCAAAGTCATGGACAAAAGCAAAGGGGTAGGAAATCATCACCTGTCTGCTGTAGACGTTTACGTGGATGCTTTCTTTCTGTGTTAAAGACATTATGGGATTTGCTAAATACTGCTTGTTTGTTCCTTCCAGGCTGTGGTGCCTGTATATCAGAACAATGTGTTCACACTCATGTCCAGCATCAGCATGCCAAACCAGGAGTCAGAGCTGACCAATTTTATGGTCAAACAGGAAGGTAATACTTTTTAAGATGTGATAATCACAGTGGGAGTCCCTCTGTCTTTTGTCGTGATGATAAAATGTCACTGCAGAGGGAGAAAATCCAGTTTGGGGACTTTTTTGTTTTTTTTATAAGTCAATAATGGCATTTTTTTTCTCAGCCAAGCATGAGGACTGGAAAGCTGCCAAGCTGCATGTAAGTAAAATACTTTAAATCAAATCTTCACATTTCTGTTTGCCAACAAAAAGGTTTTCTGAATGCTGTTAGATCTTCTGCCACACAGGAACATAAGCGTGTCTTTGAGAGGATGTGGCTTGGCTTTCTGAAGTATAAGGTAAGTAGATTAGACCAACAGTCTCTTCTCTGTTTTGTGCTCTGTGATATGTCTCATTAATGTTTGATGTCTGTATTGTAGTTGCCAAACAGCATGTATAAAAAGGTCCTGGTGATACTACATGACTCCATTCTGCCGTATATGAGCAAACCCACGCTCATGATCGACTTCTTGACTGCTGCCTATGAAATTGGTAAGTTATGTGTGTGCTCGTGGCTCTATGGTGACGGTACTTCACCATGAGGTCGACTGACATCTGTAACTTTTAAGGCATTTTCACATCTGGTCTGTGATAGTTTTAGAAGTCTGAAGTGTAGTGATAGTGACTGTGTTTGAAATATAAAACAATCCTAAAATTAAAATAATTTTGAATTAAATAATGAATTTGGTATAAACACAACAAAAATGCTACAGTACATTGTCTACAGCATAAATGTAAATGCTCCATAAAAAACACAGGAAGATTTCATTGTTAGAGTTACAGTGAAGCGATTCTTCAGCTTTGTTAGTTTTAGATTGATTAATGAGAATTTAACAGTGTTTTGTTTTGTTGTTTTACTTACTTCAACTGGGATTATATCTGCTTGTGCATGGACATCAGCGAACACTAGGGGGAAGTAGTTGTTAGAATATTATTTTTCCAGTTCACTATAGTGACCCCTATAGTGAAATGCCCTCTGACCAAATTTATTGCACTCGGACCCAAGCCTAACCTCACGCAGAGTATAACGCGTCTGCGTCACCTGACTCGTGTATCTGTTTGTCTAGCTATCCTATAAACATGAAAAATATTTGAGAGCTTTGTGGATTCAAGTTGTTTTTATGTAACATGCTTTTTGGCGGGGCTGTGCAGTATGTACACTTTATATACTGTAATTTTTTAAATGAACTTGAACAGCAGTTCTCCAAGCACTCTGAAGGTCTTTCAAAGTTTTTCTTTAGTCACTGACTGCTTTTTAACCTTTTTCAGTCCAGTCCATGTGCCTAATCATTTACAGAGTAATAACAAACAACTTGGCAAAGAACCTGTTTTAAATTGTCTCTCTGCACTTTGTTATTAGCACCATGGTCACAAAAATAAATCATTTGTTGTTTTTTTTGTTTTTTGTTTTTCATTTTTGTAGCTGAATCTTAGAAAAATTCCATCAAAATGCTTTTAGCTGAAAACATGGCATATGTCAGCATGGCATGCAGTGTGTTCTTAAAAAATATTCAAGGAAACTGGACAAATGGAGGACAAAACAAGACATGGCAGGCTTAAACACCTATCCATGGCAAATGAACAGTATCTGAAAATCATGTCCTTAAGAAATAGGAAAAAAGAGAGGATGCAACAAAGACTTGACACAGAACCCAAGAGTCTCAGTGACATACGAGGACTTTCAGGAAGCCGTTTTTAAGGAAGCAAAACAAGGAGAAAAGGTTGAAGTATACTAAATTACACAAGAACTGGACTGAACGTCAATGTCAACAAATTTTATGAAGTAATGAATACAAGTTTTATTTCAAATAATTGTCAATGCGTATGGATGAGGTGAGTGTCTACATCTGTAAAGCACGGTGGAGGCTCTGTCATGGTTTGGTGTTGAGAATCTTGATAGAATTATGAGCACAAAAGTACCATCAGATGTTCAAAAATACTATTTCAGAATGTGAAAGGTGGAAAAACAACACTTTCATATGTTCATCTACAGCTTTGCTATAAAGTGATGGTAATCAGCAGGTTCTTGTCTTCATCGAACAGGTGGGGCAATCAGCCTGCTAGCACTCAATGGCCTTTTTGTCCTCATACATCAACACAACCTGTGAGTGAAAAGCACATTTTTTTTGTCTCTTTTACTAGATCAGATTATTTACAGTAAAATGGGAGACATTTGATCACATAAATCAAAACCACGTGTTGTGTGTTTGCAGAGATTATCCTGATTTCTACAAGAAGTTGTATAATCTACTTGAGCCTTCTGTTTTTCATGTGAAGTACAGAGCACGCTTTTTCCATTTAGCCAATGTCTTCCTTAGCTCCAGGTAAGAATTCAGTCACATATTTCAAAATCCTTTTTTATTCATTTATAAATCAGATTCTGTAAAATGTTGGAACATTTAAAAAAAAGAAGAAGAAAAGAATTCACTGACTTTTGAGTCTCATAAATCGATATTTTATTCACAATAGAACATAGCAAACAGTTTTAAGATTTTCTATGAAAAAAATTTAGAATTTAATGGCAGCACATCTCAAAGTTGGGACTGAGGGGAAAAAGGGTGGAAAAATAAGTGGTATTAAAAAGAAATTGCTGAAGGAATATTTTGTAACTAATTAGGAAAACTGGCAACAGGTCAGTAACATGATGGGATATATAAAGAGGATCTTAGAGAGGCAGAGTTTCTCAGAGCAAATTTGCAAAAACAGAGTCTTTAAATTTTACAGCAATTTCAGAATCATGTTCCTTGACATACAGTTGTAGGCTACAATACATAAAAAAAAAAAGATTCGGAGAATCTGGAGAAATCTCACGCTGAAGGCAATACTGGATACCCATGATCCTTGAGCCTGTCATGGAAGTGTAAAGTGTAAAGTAAAAAGTGTAAAAGTAAAGTGTAAAGTGTGCGTGTTAGTCCCCATAGGGAAATAGTTCCTCTGCATTTAACCCATTCACCCAGTGAAGCAGTGGGCAGCCACCAGTGCAGCGCCCGGGGAGCAGTGTGTAGGGACGGTACCTTGCTCAGGGGTACCTCAGGGTAGCCGTTCAGTTGAGTCGAACCCCCGACCTTCCAATCATGGGAAATCCCTGCATGAGCTTAGGTGCAAATCCAGAAATCATTGTCTATGAACATTGTTCACTGTGTCGCTCACAATTGCAGGTTAAAGCTCTGTCATACAAAGAAGAAGTCGTATGTGAACATGATCCAATAAAGCCGCCATCGTCTCTTGGCCAAAGCTCATTTAAAATGGACTGAGGCAAAGTGGAAAACTGTTTTGTTGGACATGGACACCACATCCTCCGGATTACGGAGGAGAGGGACCATTCAGGTTTTTTAGCACTTTGTTTAGTCCCTGATGGTATGAAGGTGCATTGGTGCCTATGGAGTCATCACTGCTGAGAGCAGCGTGTGCTCTCATCCAGATTAAGTCTTTTCCAATTAAAAGCCTTGCATTTTTTTACCAAGACAACGCTAAACTCCATATTGGAGATGTTACAGAAGCGTGGCTTCACTGTTGAAAAGTCACGGTGCTGCACCAGCAGTTAGCTGTTAGAATCCTGTATCAGAAACTTATACCAGCCGCTGCTCTCCTCAGTTCCCAGATGTTTAAAAGAAAGATGATACTACGCCCTGTCCAGACTTTTTTGAAATGTTTTCCTTTTACTCAGTTTAAACATTTATTATGTTTTCTATGTTCTATTGTGAGTTTATCAAATCTGTAAATTATTGCATTCAGGTTTTTACTCTTTACACAGCATGAATGTTGCTTTGTGGGTGACCTGCTGTTATTCTTATGAGCTTTGGCTGAACTATTTAAGCTGCTAAACAGACCAAATATAAGCGTCCTACTACTTAAATAATGAGCATGAAAGCTCAGGATCTACATTGCTAAAATGCATGTTCTGTTTTTGGTTTCCTTCAGTCACTTGCCAGTTTACTTAGTGGCTGCATTTGCCAAACGTCTGGCTCGCCTGGCTCTCACGGCACCGCCTACAGCCCTTCTCATAGTGCTGCCCTTCATCTACAACCTGATCCGTCGCCACCCGTCCTGCAGAGTCCTCATTCACAAGCCCAGCGCAGAAGATGGTGAGTTTCAGACTTTTGTAGTTGGGATCGGTGTGTTAACAGTCTATGAATTGTCTGTAGGATATGTGATAAATGTTTGCTTTTGTGTGGTGACAGAACCTTTTGAGGATCCTTATCTGACGGATGAAGAGGATCCTGCTCAGTGCCGTGCCTTAGAAAGCAGCTTGTGGGAAATTAAGGTGTGCAGGCAATAACTTTAGATTCCCAAATGAATTACCTCTGTCGCTGATGACAACTGACTTTTGAGTTTTGATATTTCTCATTTTTTTCTCTTTGGGGAAAACATGTTGAAGAGATGTCACAAACGATTGAAAGTCCAATTTAAGTGGAGGAGTCACTAAAATGACACATTTTCCTGTCGTCTCTTCTATAGTCGCTGCAAAAGCATTACCATCCAGATGTGGCTAAAGCTGCACTGCTGATCAACACACCTTTGTCAGAACAGGAGGATGACATCAGTGAGACACTAGAGGTCACAACGTATGAGGTGACGCTTCAAGAATTAGTTTTCCTCTTATTTCTGGTCAAATTAAATTTGGTTTAGATGAATAAGTTATTTCATTTTCTTTTTCACAGCTGATGGAAAAAGACCTGAAGCAACCCGAGATCAAGAGCGTCCCACTGGAATTTGAAACTGCCACACGGTTACTAAAAGGAGGGGGAGACGTGTTAGGACAGCACTTCTGTCTGGCATAAAATGAGTCAAAACAACAGACCACATTTGCCTTGTTGGAACCTTTTTACACTCGTTCATCTTTTATCTCAAGTGCTTTTCAGAAAGCGTTGCCCAAATCTTCTCCATGAAAATTAGATGCTTTTTTGCTTTTTTAAATTCTATATTACTGTCCTCGATGTGTGACTGTTGTATGCCAATAAAAACATTTTCTAGAACTGATGGTCTTTGAAGGCATTGTTACTTGAAATCAATTATACACAATTTCAAGAATTCAAAGAAAGAATGTAAACAGGAAATTGTTGGTAAATGTTAAGCTATGCTAAAACTCAGGTTTTCTGCTTCCAGTTAAACAACAAAGTCATTCAGTGCATATTTTCACTTAATGTGGCTGCATTTTGGTCCTCCAAAATCAGGCAGGAGATGCTCAATTTGTTATACTGTACTGAGCAAAAATCTTGTCACCCCTCGTTATCTTTGGACAGTGGTTGTTTCTTTGCTCCGGTCCTTGTACCTGACCATTTTCAGAGGAACAGTTTTTTTTCTTAAGCCACTTATCACTGCCCTTGTTTTATGAATCATAACACATAAATTTTTTTTTAGTTGAATATTTGAAAAAAACAAAACAAAGGAAATGTTATGATGATTTGCATCAGCAAGGTGTTCTTAAAGAGCTATTAACCAAAAAACTTGGTATATCTCAGCATGGTGTGTAGTGTCAGGCCTAAAAAACGTATTTACAGCAGATGAACGGTCTTAAAGTCATTACTGTTGAAAATGGCAAAGCATCCAGCAAAGACATGATACAAAAGCTGAGAGATGCATGTGGCCCTTCAGTTGATGTGTCTAATGTTCATTGAAGTCTCATCAGAAATGGTCTTAGTGGAAGGGTGGCTGTGAAGAAGCCATTCATAATGCAGGGGAGTGGGGAGAAGAAGCTGAAGTATGCCAAATTTCACCTGATCTGGACTAAAAATCAATAGCAAGAAGCATTGAGAATCTATATTTAAAGTTTTTACTTCAAATCCCCATTGTGTCATGACAGAGGTACAATAGTGGGGGTCTATAGGCATGGTTAAAACATGGTAGAGGCGCTGTCATGGTTTGGGGCTGCCGACAGTGGTGTTGGCGATCACGTCAAAATTGATAAAATAAAGGGGTAGAAAAGTACATTCAGACCTGGATCCTACATGCAAAACCAGCTGGGGAAAGCTGGGAAAAAAAGCACACAATGGAATACTATCAGTCATGAATTGGTCTCCACAGAGCACGAACCTCACATTATTGAAGCAGTGTGGGATCATCTTGACAGAGAATAGAGCAAAAGCCATCCAACATCCAAAGAAGAGATGTGAATTTCCTCAAGAAACCTGGAGAGCTATTCCCGAAAACGACTTAAAGAAAAGAAGAAGAAAGCTGCCTTAGAGAGTTTAGGCTGTTTGAAGAATAAATGTTGTCCATATGTTTGAGTTATATACTTTGTTTTTATTTCCATTGTACATGTTTCCCAATTTCTTAGCAAAATATAAAGAAATTAAGGAGTACTCAAAACGTTTGCACAGTTCTGTGTGTCATATAGTCTTAAACCTACATTAAAACATCACAGTTAATTACACTGCAAGGATACAGCCAGGCCTTATCGAGGGTGTTCTCCCCTCATACAGGTGAGGTTAAGGTTTGCCTTAGATGATCTTTTTCCGTCTGCTGTTCATATTTCATGCTCTTGTTAAGTTTGCCATATGGGCACACAGCAGGCCGCCTTGGGTACAAGAGCGCTGTGAGAGAAAGATTCTGAATCATAACTGAATTCTGTTTCAAAAGAACAAGTCATATGAGGGAGAAGCGCTCCAAAAATGTACTGAGACACACGCCACAAGCAACGAACCATGGAGGCTACGGAGTCCGCAGTAAATCCCTACAGTTTTGAAGATTAGAAAATCTATTTATAATTTTTGTAGGCTTCGCTTATGGTGAACTACAAGATGGGCATGATACTACCCAGCCAAACACCATCTTTGTGAAGAGGATGAGAGAAGCTGAAGACCATTTGTTAAATGGGTAAGAACTATGAAATACAGTCCTTGCAGAAGTTTTAAAGCATCATAGATGAAGGCGTTTGCAGTTTTTATGATGCAGCATTATATCTATTAGTCCATAATATTTGCAAACACATTTTTTTCAGCTCCTGAACAGTTGTGTACAGCGCTAACAATTAACAGCCATTCACAGCTAACTTAATAAAATATAATTTCAAACAATGCAATGAATCCACTTCTAAATTCAGTTTCTAGTTCATTTGTCTTCTTTAAATGAGCTCTTATTACTTGTGTGTAAACAGTGAAGAGCTATTTGCTCAGAATCAATATGAGCTAAGTACATTGCCTCACCACAGTAATAAACTTAAATCTTTAGAGAAAGGGGATGGTTTTGAATTTAAAAAAAAATACTGTAATGGAATTAATTAAAATAATGGATTTATAGATTATTTAATATATAAATAAAAATTATCAGGCCTGGATAATGTCACTCTCTCTGCCTTTGATAAATCTGCGACAGAGATGCTTTGGCTCTCAGAGGTGGTTCATAGAGGTCTTTGAAGGGTGGGATGCTTTGCATAAATCTGTAAGACTCCTGAGCTCTGTGTGCTGCTGTTGTTGTTGTTGTCTGTCCTCCTCCTCCTCCTCCACAATCCCCTGCAAGGAAGTAAAAGCTGTCCAAGGTGAGTCAGCACAGAGAATCTGTTCAAGCATTTGGCCGAGGTTTTAAGAGAAACAATAGAAGAAGAAGAAGAAGAAGAAGAAGAGGCCAGTTATTATTCTTTTTTGTCTTTGGTCATTAGTTTTTAACACAATGGCATTCATTTATTTTAAAAAAGCCACTTTTTGAATGAATGAATCAAACAGGAAAAGCAAAAAGGAAAAAAAAAGAAGGAGTCTGATCTTGTTAGTATTAAAAAAACACAAATGAAAAAACAGACAGTCAGACATTGGAGCATTTGTTAGTGTAGATTAGGTAGAGTCCAATAAGTCAAATCCCCTGAGGTGCAAGCATCATTAACCGTCTCTACCCTGCATGTATCTGTGCTCTGTATGGTTAGTGTGAATGCAACACTCCTGTGTGGAAGTCAGTGTCTGTTTGACCAAACGCACAAAGCATGTCAACATAGATGGAGATTTAGTATCAATTAATATGAGCTGTTGTATTTTCCATGCCCCCCTCCACCATACCCTCCACACACTCACACACCCCTTCACTGTGTGTCTGTGCACTAATCCTCTCTTATGTAACCGAATGAAGCTCTCTCTCAGTGATAACACACACGCACATGGACACACACATGAACATACTAGTCAGTGCTTACATGTATATGTGGACGAACTTGTGCGGGTGGCAACGGAGTTCAACTGGAATAATGATTCATCGTTTAAAAATGTGGCTTTTACTCTCAAGGACTGACTGTGTTTCTCAAAATGAACAAACAAGTTGCGTGTTGATTTTTTTAATGAAAGAAGATGAAGGATTTGTACAGTAAGTGTCAAAAGCTCTTTATTAGTGCATTAGTGCGTTTTCTCAGCAGCAGACCTTTCGTTTTTAGCTTATGCACTGCAACACATTGAGAAAACCTTAATCATGAATTATAATGAAATATTTGAAATGCTTTTTGTTCATGATGTACAGTTATTTGTCATTTTAATATCGATCAAACACACTATATGTTATTGTTTGTTTGGAAACATGGTGATTAGATGGATAGGTTTTTGAACTACTAAAGAATGCACATAAATATGCTCTATTTTCAGGTGAAGTTTAGTGAAACTAAAATATAAATCTGAACCAGACACAAACTACAAAGGTAGCTCAAAATCCTTAAGTATTCAACTTTAATAAATGACACCTATTGATGCTGGTCAAAAAGCAATAGTTCTTCATTATTCAATGATGCGTACATGCTTCTCTTTGTATATATGCTGATGGCACTGTTCCAGCATTGCACCGTCAGTGTGTGTGCGTGCAGAATATGAGGTTTGCATCATAGATTCACTATGTAACCTGCAGACTGGTGTTGCAGGTGATAATGCGGGATCACAAGTCCAGTGCTAATGTGGAGAACCTGCTGAGGGAGTCTCAGATGGAGTTACAGTGGATCCAGAGACAGCTCGCCATGATTGCTGCCAGAAACTTGCACCATCACCACCTGCAGAGCAAGGGCAAGGTAACATCATACTATAGGCCTTAGACACACTACTGCTTTTATAGCTAAGATAAACTTTAGTGTGGAAACATTAGTGTTGACCTTGGTGAAGGATAAATGGCATTTACTAGTAGCTGATAAAATTTTAACTTGTGATTTGAAGTCAGTTTTAAGTAATATTTGGTAGTGATCTTATAAGATAGCATTAAACTGTATAAATTAATATACTCTCACTGGGCATTTCATCAGGTACATCTTGCCAGTATTTGGTCAGATCCTCTTTTGCTGGCTTAAATCTCCACCACATCCTAAAGGTGCTCCCCTGAACTGAGATCTGGTGACTGTAGATACAGTGAACTTACTGCCATGTTGCAGTGCAAACTTTTAACTGTGCAGACTTTATTCAGACAGTAAGCCATGCATTCAATGTTAAAATGTTAAATGCCTACATGGGAGTCTTCATTTATTGCGAGCACTGAGATTTGAGTGCAAAGAGTTGCATCTCTTGATTATCTTGTCACTGCTTACATCTCTTTCTTTTTGTGCTTTATTTGATCCCAACAAATGTACACCTGTCAGCAACATTAAAACAATTGTAAAAGTTTTAACAGCAGCAGACATACTACTGTGTGATTCGGGCACTTTGAATTGAATCCCCTTGTCCTAAAGAAAAAATTATTGATCTATCAGGTAAACCACTTGTCCTCTAGAGGATCACTAGCAATTCTAAGTCACTGACAATTATGTCTCAGAGAAGACAGCATGCTTCTGAAAACACATTTTCAGGGTTTTCAAAATGTATCCAGTGGAGCGATAGGCCACTATAGATGCTTAAGGTTTTTAAAGGTGTCCAAAGGGGTTTAGAATAAACCTGCCATTCTCATCTCCAGCTCCATATTTTTATATGTCTACACACACACACACACACACACACACACACA